GGGGGGTTCTGCACACCCCGGCAGTGCCTGGTGACGGGGAGCTTTGTGAGTGCACAAGGTGCCATGATGTGTGGCGCAAGGGCGTGCATTGCATCGTGCCGTTTTTCCCGCTTCGTTTTTTGTTCTTGAGCCATGACCCCCGCCCAGCAGCGGCGGCACCAGCTTGTGGCAATGCTGCGATGGCCTGCGCTTCTGCTGCTGTTGTTGCTGCAGGACCCCGGGGGTGCTGCAGGGCAAGGACTCGAAAAAAACCCAAAGTCGTTGCTGGGGGCCTCGGATAAACAGGAAGTGCTAAACTCGGTGGGCCATCCTGATCCGGGATCCCGATGTCGCTGACAGCAGCTTGCCACAGGCCAGGTGTTGCATGTTTCTGTGGATTTGAACTCTGCTGACAGTTCGTGAAAGGGACAGTGGCAATGCGCACGGTGGCGGCACTTCGGCAGGCCTGCAGGGGCCACGCAGGGGCGGTCCTAGTGCATTTGCATGGCTGATCTTGTCCATGCCGTCTCTGCGCCAACTTCATCCCTGGTGCCGCCACACTGGCGCTGGAACACCTCCAAAATGCTGGCGTGCAGGCGTATGCCACTGCCAAGGCCTGGCAGGCCCGATACGCCAAGCCGTCAGAAAGAAGCACTGCCTGCAGCAGGAGCAGCGGGTCGCTTTGCGCCGCAGGATCACAGTCGGTCTCGCAGAGGACGCAGTTGCTGCTTGTGACGTCGCCGTCGTCTTTTGACGCGCGGTCGGCGGCGCAGATGGGGGGGTTCTCAGCCATTGGGCAGCCCAAGGACCAGGGCACCTGTACCTCTTGTGTGGTGAGTGGTTGTGGCGCACACGCACGCGCGGCTTGTTGAGCGTGCCGCCCGACATCGCTGATGAGCGCCGCGTGCAGATGAGACCAGGTCGACCAATAGGCAATGCCTGTTGCGGGACGGGTGCCGCGTGTTTGCAGGGACCGCGTGAGGCCTTTCGCATTGGCTGCGCCATGCATCCCACGGGCTGAAGCGTTTGCGTCCACCATCACCAACGCCGCTATGCCAGGCCTTTGCCATCTTGGCGGCCGTGCAGAGCGCGGTGGCCTGCGCGCTGCGTCGGGACGCGAGCAGCAGCCTGTCAGAGCAGGTGGGCGGGGCGCACACGTTTCAAAACGTTTTCATTCGTCAATGTCCCTGTGATGAGTCGGTGGGCGGCTGTTCAGACACGCTGTGGTGTGCCAAAGCTGACACAGAAAGCGCCAAGTTTCCCTCTGCTGGCGGGTCTGGGCTGCCTGCATGGGTGGGCTGGCTGCCCCAGCGGTGAGCACACACCCTCAGGGTGTGACAGGCTGTCAACATGCTCGCCAGTGTTGTGGACCCCTGTTCTTCACCTGGCACGACATCGCCTCGCACGCGTCTTTCAGGACTTTTTCTTCTGCAAATCCCTGGTGCTGCGTGAGAAGCGCGACTGCAACAGCGTCTGGAACATGCGCAGCGGGGTGGAGGCGTTCATGGCGACGATGGACGCAAAGAAGCTGCCCGTGACGGAGACGTGAGGCTCAGCTGCTGTGCGCGCACGCGTGCGTGACCAGCCCTGACGAGTGCGGAGTGGGAGCATTTAGCCCGCCTGGCAAGCCTGCGCCTAGCTTGTGAATGCGGGGCTAGCCCGCAAGGTGTGTGAGGTAGGACGCTGCATCCTCCCACATTTGACGGCACCTGGAGACATCCAGGCTCACGGGCGAGACGATAGCTGCAAAGCATCCTTGCCAAACTTGCTTGTCTTTGCCCTGGTGCAACTTCCAGCTGCAAAATTGTGATGCACACACCGCTGCGGTCCCTGGCGCTAGCTGCGCGCCTGCGCAATCTGCGCCGACTCCCTTGCTCCTCGTGCAGGTGCCTGCCGTACGATCCCAGCAACCCCAGCTGCAGCTATGAGTGCACCGATGTTGAGCCGTTCCTGCAGCAAGGCGTCTTCTCCTTCAAGGCGCTTACCACCGAGTGGGACATGCAAAACCACATCAGGTGTGTACACTTGTATTCACCGAATTAATCATTTGTGTATTTATTTGGACATAGTTAGTTGTGTATGTATACATGTACGTATGTTTGTATAGTAATAAGGTGTACACTTTCATATCATTTACGCATGTCTGTAATTGTATGCAGATATGTCTGTGTGCGGGTGCATGTGTTTCAAGGGGAGAGGGTAGTGGGTGGGTTGGGGGTGTACGCACACGCGTGCGTTCGTGCATTTTTTATGTTAGGGCTAGCTGAAAACAAGTGCAGATGCTGTCGAGTAGATGATGTGATAATAATGGTCCACACTGAGTGTTGCAGGACTTGCATGCCCCATCTGACTCAGTCACCCCATTGCATGACCGTGCAGGCTGTTCGGCAGCGTAGTCACACGGCTGAACATATATTCCGATTTCAGGACATTCTTTGAGAGCAACCCGTCAGGCATCTACACCGGCCATGGTGCGCATGTGCATCGCCGGCATGCCTTGGGGGGACTCAGCTTTGAGTGCACCAGTGCGGCGCTCATGTGCACGTACGTGTGTGCACATGGGCGCGTGTGAGCGTCCATGAATGCGTGCACGCGTGCCTGTATGCGCGCATACACACTTGCAAGTGCATGCTTGCGAATGCATGAATGTCGCCACACTGCGCAAGGACGTACCAACAGCTGTTGCTGCTATCCCAGCTGCATCCTCCATTGCCTATGGAACGCCATCCCCGTTCAGGGCCCAAGGCTACGTACCAGGAAAGCCATGCTGTCGTGCTGGTTGGCTACGACCTTGACAAGGGGTACTGGATCGTCAAGGTGGGCGGGACTACTGATGTCCGCACATATGTTTGCACAGACATGGGGTGCACGCGCAAGGTGCGCGCATGGGCGCCGCACCCATGTGCGCCTTGGATGCCACCTGGGTTCCTCAGGTCCCATGTCACTGGGGAACCAGGTGGCATCTCCGTGGCGCACCTGCATGCATTGTTGATGCCACCCCTTCACCCGCATGCGTTCAGGGTAAGAGAATAGGACATGTCGAGGCTTCAGCACATGCAAACTGCCTGCACTCCACCTGCTGATGACTCGGCGAAATTGCCGCGCTCCTCCCTCACATCCGTGCTGCCAGAATTCGTGGGGAGTCAACTTTGCCGCAGGTGGATTCTGCAAGGTCAGTACCTTTGAGCAACATGAACATAGCACGAGCAAGACGGCAATGAGAGCTGCACAGCTGGACCAGGGAGCAATTATGATGCAGGAACCACATGTGGAGGTGTTCAGGTGCACCAACGCAGTATACACTTACCTCGGCTTGCTCATTTGTGGCGGGGTTTCACACCCACACAAGTGCCCATTGGCCCCCTGATCTGCCCTGCTGGCAGGTGGCCTTTCAAGTAGATGGCATCGGCTTCCCCGACGACACGTTTGGTTTCTACTTTGCGCCGGACAAGCCCCCTCCTAAGCCCTTCAACAGACTGTCGCTCTCCAGCAGCCGCCCTGGCTGCTACAATTATCGCACCCTGCCCAGGTAGGCTTGCCAACACCCCGCCACTTGCGAGTGTTGAGATGCCGGGTGCACGTGCTGTGTGTGCTAGCTGTAGCTGCTCATGCACCTCGGCCTGCCTGTGGCATGTCACAGCTGCGGACCTGCATGCGGAAGGCTTGGTGCCTAGCGACATCAGATCAGCCATGAACGTTGCGTGACATGACCCCTTGCCCAACTCAACCATCAAACCCCAACATGATATTTTCCAGTGACTATGTGTCCAAGGTGCGTCAACACACCTGCCGTCCCTGAATGCGCCGGCCATGCATGCACGCAAAAAACTCACCGCGCCGCCCAGAACATATGCGGCCATCTTTTGCACTTCGGAGGTTGTTTCCATGGAGCGCGGTATGAGCTCCTTTCCACTCAAGGGCTAGTCCACCCGTCTGACCACAGCAAAACCTTCCGCCTCCGCCGTCGAATGCGCCGTGCAGGTCGCAGCTACCTGGGAAGTCCCCATCCAGCAGCTGCTGCTGGACAACTCCGACAGCATTCCTGCCGGGGTTGAGGCAGGCAGGATGCTGGGAGACACGACCCTCACACTCTGCAACATCAAAGTGCCCGGCACGCCCGCGACGCAGGGCCAGCCTTCTGTGCCTGCCACCGCCGCACCAGCGCCATCGTCGACGCCTGCATCGGGCCCCGGGTACAAGCTGCAGATGGGCAGCTACACAGGCACTGTCACATGCGACGCCGGCTTCACCGTCACTGGGCGGGGCGGCGAATTGCAAACCACCATCGTCATGTCGACGCAGCCAGGGGCCGGCGGCGCCTCTGTTGTCCTGCGCCTGTCGGCCGAGTGGCGCGGGATCTTCAGTTGGCGCTGCAACTATGGGATGATGTCACTGTGCGCGCGCGACGACGACAGGCAGTGCGCAGGCGGGCAGGAGGCGTGGCGCTGCAAGGTCACTGGCATCACCACCTGGGACGACACATGCGCCGGACAGGCGGTGGGGCGCGCTACGGTGGCGCGGGTGTGCTATGCGGGCAACATCCTGGCCGCCAAGGAGCTCTCGCCAACCTGCAAGCGGCTGAGCGGCGACTTGGTGTTGAAGATGCCGTAGCTGGCGTCCTGGTATGTGTGTGCGCGCGCGTGCGTGCGTGCATGTGTTTGTCCGTACTTGCGCGCGTGACGACAACCAATCAGCCCTGCACGCTTACTATACAGAGTACGCTCAGGGGTGCAACCATAGTGCTCTGCAGAATTGTGCGCCAGGGCTCATAGAGTGATTTACCAAAGCACCGTGACCATCGACGCGTGAATCCCTGGTTGAATCATGCAAAGCTCAAGAGCGGGGGCATAAAGCTCAAGGGTGGCGGCCAGTGCTTGCCGACCCATGACACTTGAATATACGGGATAGTACAACAATTAACAATTTTGCGTGAAATAGGTCGTTGTTGCCACCCATCATTGGCTTCATATGTGATCCGCACATATGGAAGTCGCAGAGACCCTTTACTTCCAAGCACACATCAGGCACCCAAGATGATGTCAAACCCTCTTCACAACGCTTTTTTGTGTGCCAGCAAGCATTTATCCTCAAATTTTTCTCTATATTTTCACACTTGTTTCTACACCTTGCGCAAACAACCACACTAGGCTCTGCGGTACAGGCATGGGCCTCCACATTAATTGCTACTCCTGTCCTGCTGCAAGCTTTAGTCCCCAAGCAACGCAATTCTTTTTGGTTGGTATGATTCTTTTCGGATGGTGTAATTCTTTTTGGTTGACAACATATGCTGGCACGAGTGTCTGACCAGTGTGCTAGGCAGCATACACGTGTACTGTTCAGGTTCAGCCGGTGAAAGCCCCCCCTCCCACACGGACGCCCGGCAATAAGGGCAGGAGACCATCTAGGCCCTGCTGTACTGCACGGGCACCCTCTACACTGGCTAAGCAGCACGTTGGTATCAACACCGCCCCAACATCCTGTGCATGGCTAGCTGTCAGTGGCCGAGCCAGCCGTGTGGCATCCACCATGCCGTGAGTGCATGCCCCCTCATGCACGCGCACCGCACCAAATGTCACGGCACCGCTGCGCGAATACTGGCGACAGGTCTCCAGCACGACACTGCAGAACTGCACCTGCACTCAGCAGATGTTAGCAGCACGGATGACTTCACAGCAGCCGGGCGGACTGGCCTAAAACCTCTCCCGTAGCACGCATTGTGCAGCTATGCATGGCTGCGTGCAGGCACCTCTGATGCAGACACAGCCAGGCTCAGAGCCCCTGAGGCTTGATGTAGTCCTTGTGAAGGAATGCAGGGCTTTTTTGCTTTGCTTTGCTTTTTTTGTTACAGTCGTCCAGGCCAGCCAGACTCCTCCCGACACTGTGACCAACCGGTGCGAAACAACAACAGGGGTTAAGCACAACCTAGCCGCCCAAAGCAGGCGGCAACACACGTGACACCAAACAAGCCAAGATAAGCTGCAGACATACAAATAGTGCAATGAGGGCGCACGGCACACACCCAGGCGACATGCCTGGGGCCTGGGCCCTGGGGCCTCTCCAGGGCACAGGCGGGCCGCAGGTTTGACGGCCTGCGGCGACAGCAGCGCGGTATCCGCGCCCCCGCCCCCCCGATCGGCGCCCTATGTCAGCAAGGGCATGACTTCACAGGGGTAGGACCCGCGCACGGGATGCCGCCACCCCGCCGCCCTGCAAAATCCACCTGATCGAGGTGACGTATGGATTACATACCCCGGCATCATAGCCTAACGGGTCAGCGCCTTGGGCTGCTAATCCCTAGGTCATCGGAGCGACTGCCCATGATGACATGCGTTCCGATTTTCGGGACGACAAGGGGGATGTTAGCGGTAGATTTCAAGCCCCGAACCGCATTGCAAACGGCTAGAACATGGGCCCCATGGTAGGGGCAGCTTCCAACAAATGGTGACCACACACTGTATTAGATGCAGTGCCATTCGATTTAAGAGAGTAAGGGCTCAGATGGGATCTCCTTCGGGGGGCATCACGTAAGCCGGGGGGGAGGGCCCGCGGCCGCGGACGTGACTCACCACACACGTCCTTGCTCCTTAATCCCATGCGGCACCGCCTGAGCGAGTCCTTTGGGGCATGCGAGGTGTACAGCGGAGATTCTCTCTCTCTCTCTCTCTCTCTCTCTCTCTCTCTCTCTCTCTCTCTCTCTCTCTC